CTATTTTGCATTATTAAAATACACAGTAAGGACAAGACATTGAGTTGAACAATTTAAATCATTTACTGGTGTTTAGATCTTTTGGGCTTTTATAAAGTTAAGCAAGTTAATTAAGAGAATGGGTATTAGAACAATGTATAGTTTAAGATATATCTTTTTGTTCTTATTTCGAGAATTTTCGCACTCTATCCTAATCAAATTGATAGAGGGTTTTATATTCGTTTGATGTCTATGTGGTAGGGCGATTTCCTGAAAATAACACATGCTACGGTTTATGTATCCTGAGATAAGAAGCAACTGAGTATATGACAAATATATGGCTCTAGATAGGATTCTCTAAGACCCTACGTTTTTCAGGATATAGAAACTTTAAAGTTAAGCTAAAGAAAAAGGAAGCAACAGATAATCAACACTTTAATTAGAATAAGAAAGAATGACAAAGTATGCTTAACTCAAGTCTACGTAAGGAAGCAGCCTTTCGGCCACATCTGTATCCACTCCATATATCAAATTCACTCAACGACGAACATTGAAATGCTAACTTGGAATTGCGAACAAACTTATGAGATGCCTTATTAAGATTTTAAAAATAGGTTATAAGAACTAAGCTGAATTACATACATAATAAAACTTAAAATAATGGTTTCTAGATCTGTCGAGGGCTGCCACGTTACTGATTGACGCTTATTTCGAATTCAACTGAATCGAAGGACGGTTTGCCAAGGACTTATGAGTATAAATCTCTTATGATTTAAAGTTAAGTTGGTTTACTAACTACTTCCATCCTACTTTTCAACCGCAATAAAAGTTCCATTCTACTGAAAAACTTGCCATTTGAGATACGATTTACTGTCAAGCAAAGTAGAGGGGAATAGACGCCCCATGATTTCAATAATATTACACGATTCCATTTGTCTTTTTTTTGGATACTAGAAACTCAGGGTTTAATCGGAAATGGGATACTTCTAGATTACATATAGAAAAAAGTACACTTAGAATGAATCCATTTCTATAGAATCTTAAATGAGTTTTGCCAGGTCCGGGAGCACACTTACGATGATTAACTTGATCTTAATCTATGTTCCGCATTACTTTAATTCATCCGCTTATTCGTTTTAATTGTCATTTATATCACTAGAATTTCTTGATAAATCTAATATTGTTGCTTTCCAATTACAAGTAAAATTTCGAGAATACCAGTAGAGAATATGTGTGAGATGTATTTATCCTATTTTGTTTAGGGCGATGCGGATGATAGTTCTATTTTCAAATCAATTATATGAGTAGACATGACGTGTCAATTCAATTTCACATAGTCTTACTTTCTCAAAAGGTATTTTCATCCAAGGTGGATTGCAGTTTCTATCTCGCCTAGGTCTTATCAACACCCCCAGCGGGACTCGAACCCTGACACTGTCTCGACGCATTAACCACTATGCCACCTTGCCACGAGTGTCATTGGGTGACCGGAAAGATGTGAATTTTAAGGAAGGCCAAGCATTTTACCATATCACATTCGGTGGTGATATTGTTGATGATTAAAAGTTTTATTTGCTATAGTTATACGTTACTTATTTCTCGTTTATAAGTAATCGATAACCTCACCACATAATATTGTTGTAATTGACCAGCTTTATTAATTATATAGATTATATCCATTTCAAATTATCCCTGCATTTGGCTCCCTTTTCAGAACTCTTGAGTATATCTTTTACATCTTATAATTATTTTTATTTCATTTTCTCTAGATTGTGTTATCAGCCCAAGCCAAATTCCCAGTACTACATTGATCGATACTGGTCTCGCGGAGAAGCTTCCCATTAATGCCGCTAATTCGAATATCTCTCCTGTGCGCTCTAGCCCCAACGTCCATCTAACTAAGAGACAACAAGTTCCTGTCACTCTGGGGGTCTGTGTTTGTGTCCGGCCTGCTGACGAGACAGCATCAGATATAGCTTTTAAATCAGCCATACTGCTTCCACAACGACAAGCATTACATTTGGAGGCAAAATCTTCTAGTTTAAGTCATAATGGATCTATCCAGAACGCTGTATCAGAGCACCATTTGGAGGAGCCAGGATTCGATATCGATAGGAAAACTAGGGTTACAAAAGTTAAAAAAGGATTAAGCAACAATTGTTCTAAAAGCAATTTTACTTGCGGTGATGACGACCCTAGAACTGTTGGTGGCGGTGGTTCTATCGTTGATAAAGTGACTGGCAGAAGTGATGTTGATCATGGTGAGACAGAAGACATTTACTACAATGAGAACGAGCTCCGTCCTCAAAATGGAGTGTTTGTGCGCTCTTTGATTGAGGGAGGAGTTGCGCATCAAGTAGGTCTCTTATTTTATCTTGATTTTGCTTTGAGTGCTAACCTTTTATTTCATTAATGCTTCACCTAATTTCATTTATTACTAATATTATTTATTTATGCGGAACTCTGATCTTAGTTGGCCCTAAGGTATCCTTAAACTTCACTTAACTATTGATTGATTAATGCCAAGAAGCTGTCATTTATTTATTTATTTCTCTTTTTGTGCTTTTAATATGCTTAGTTTCTTAGCCTTCCACAGCTTTTTAATCTAATTTATTCTTTGTTCGTATTACATTATTAACCGGACCATAAGCCATAAGTTTAATCCTTTAAACAAAAATGCTTTCACTGGGAGAATAATTTTTCCAAAGGAAGTCACTTCAATCTCATCGTTCTATCATACCACAGGCGAATTTATATCTACCAAGACATAATAGATAGAGATTTATAAGGCTTTCTGAATGATCAAATTTGGAGGTTAGGCTTATAGAGCGAGCTCGAAACGACAATAGCCCTGAATTTCAATTCCTTTGTTTAGAAAGACTTATTTTAATTCAATAAAATCGTGAATGCTTTTACTTTTTTCATAATAAGAACTTGAACTATTCGATCTTTCTTCATTCAAACCAACATGAGATAGCTAGTTACTATAAATTAGCCCCTGCCTACTAGCTAGCTAATAATTGATTACAAATTATGACCTCTGGTATTATTCAACTTCCCCATATATTCAACTTAAACTTGGCCATTCTTAAAAATTAATCATTCATTGTTTTCTTAGACTTTTTTCACAAATCCTTATTTAATATCAAATTAAACATAATATCTGATCTAAGCATAACATGTAAACTTAATTATGGGCTCTTTTTAAAAAAATATCCTTATTTTATATTTAATAGGTATAGGAAAACAGTTACATTAACTATTTACTGACCAGCTATGAAAATTTCATTCTTATTTTAACTCATCCTTATATCCCTATTTCCGGCATTCCTATATTTTGTCCTATTGTTGATATTTAAAGTAAAGAAATAAATAAAATATTTTGCTATCCAGTGGTTCCAATACATTCTTCTAAGATGGATTTGTTCTCTGATATAGAAAAGACCATTTTTATGAGTTGTTTAGGGTCTCTAGAACGTACTCATTCTTCATATTTTTTATTCACCCTAATAATTTCTGTTTATTTGATGGGAAACCTGGCTTTTCAAGGACCTCTTTATACCTTAATATAACTTGACTTTTAAATAAAACACTCCACTCCAAAGCATCCCTCCATCGACCTATTCACATATCCCTTTCGTCCACCTTAGAGTTGAAAGTTAGAGTTCGCTTTTCTTCA